GTTTAAATTTGCGAGGGCGGGGGCGGGGAACGTAAAACCCGCCCCCGCCCCGCCCCGTTGCCATGCCTACAAACAAGACATGTACATAGCATAGATGGATTAACAACAATATCACATTCCACTCATCAAAGACATAAAAATATCAAGTTAACATATAACATTAAAATGCACGTGTAATGGGCACAGACTACATATTATCATGCATGTGGCGCTAGTAACACATATCACATGGCGTATTGACGCCAGCAATACAAGAGAGTATGCCAGGTCACACCCTCTGCGCACTCTCACTAGAAGGACATACTACCAGGGTCTCGTCAGGATGGCTAAGCCGCACAAGACACATCCCATGCACACAATGGGCGAAATTGGAACTTACAAACTGAGTTATCCCCAAGGACTAATCCCCAAGCTTTTACACAAGGGGGTCTTCCCTGGTGGTGTATTCCATATCGTACCCTTAAAAATATTTATGCAAATGATGCATGTCAATCACGACTCTATGCATTCTCATATCACATTATCACGTCTCATTATCATATCACATTGTCATGTCTCATTATCATATCACATCGTCATGTCTCATAATTATCATATCACATCGTCATGTCTCATTATCATATAACATCGACATGTCTCATTATCATATCAAATCATCATGTAACATTATCACATATCCTCATATCTTATGTCTCATATTCACATTTCACATTATCTCATCATATTCACATAGTCTCCACATAACACTTTAATTCATATCAAAACTTGTCTATTTGCGAAATTAAACACATATTCGTATATCTCATCCAACAAGGAACACAACAAAACAATCAGAAAGTAAAACAGAAAACATTCATATTTTGCCTGTTTCTTATAGGGTTCTCTTAGAAACCTACATAGCACTCTAATTCATATAATAAACATTTAACACAATATAATTTACTCATATAATTGCCTCTTCAAACAATCTCCTCTTACAATCACTAATATATTCCCTTAGGGTTTCCCATAGGGAACCCATAGGAACACCAAAGTCTGTAATTATAATCCAAACACCAACACTACTCATACATACATACTAATTACATCAATTAAAACATTCAGGGAGAAACAAGGATGAAACAATACAATTGGGAAATACCCCTCATACATGAGCACACAACAAACATAGGATTGGGGGCGAATCCCACTGCCCAACATGCATTCCCACACCTAGAGCGAGATCTCTCACTCCCCTTTACCTGGATAAGCCGAAGACGAAGCTAGAGCGAAATCTGGTTGATCTCCTTCTCTTGGTTCTTCTTGGTCTTTAGAGAGTGTGTCCAGAAGCAGTGCCAAAGTCTGTTATTTATAGATGTCATGAGTGGCCAAAACGGCCCATTTTGAATATAGAACGGCCCGTTCTGGACTCATTCGTCATGTGTAAAATTCACATTTAGAATGACCCGTTCTCAAACCAGAACGACCTGTTCTGGGGTTGACTTTTTACATATAACGTCCATGTTTGGAACGGCCTGTTCTTAAACCAGAACGGCCCGTTCCCAACTAGGTTTATAGGCCATTTTATTAGTTTGGAACGGCCCGTCCCAATTTGGGAACGACCCGTTCTGAGCTACTAAATCACCCTTAATAAGTTTTATAAAAATTACTAAATTACCCTCCATAAAAAGTATGAAAAATGGGGTGTTACATATATAGACCTACAAACTCTTCAAGCATTCCAAAGGGTTC